CCGTTGATGTATGAATCAGTGAAGGCAATACGAGAAAAGTATGGAGAAGAAATGCCAATCACTATCATCTATGAAGACCAGCCTGTCAATGATTTTAAATCGGTCTTTATGAGAATGCAAGGTATTTTGGAAAAAAAAAAATGAAATTCGTTTTGTAGAAAAGACTTTCTTATCATCGTTTTGTTTTGCATCAGGTTTCATCCCAGGGCCGCGTTCATATCTCATGGATTTCCAAAATGTATTTGTCATGGCTTGTGGTACGAACTTCTACAGTCAATGTCTCCCAAGGAACTCCGTCCATTTTGGATTTTCAGCGACCTCCGTTCATTGGCTGAGAGAGAAACCATGTGACATCACGGGAGCGCTGCATCACTCCATGATGACAGACCCAAGAGAAAAAGAAATGTTTTCAAAGCAAGGCGAGAAAGATTGGGAGCTTTTCTTGATGAATAGAGCTGAAGAATTAGCACCAGGTAGAATGCTTGGATGTTTACGAGCGACATGTTCTCGATGATTATAAAGGGACCAGGTTTGACTCTGTGGTCAACGCCTTTGTTCTGCCTAACGATGGACTCAATGCAGAATTTGTAATTCGTTTTTTTTTTTTTGTGCTTTGTAAGGTATGGAATAGGTTTCCAAGACGAAGAAAAAAAAGTTAGATGCTGTTTCCGTTGTTTCGATGAATTTTATTTCATTTCTTTTACATGGCTTTGTATCTCATAACTTACTTCCCTATATTTTTGAGCCTTAAAAAGCGACTAGCTCGGCACGCTAATCACTCCCCCCTGATCCGCCTTTGCAATGTCGTTGCTGATTTGTTTCATATCAATTATTTCAGGGGGGTACATGTTACTYGTACAAGACGTATTCGACGAAGATGGGAAACTCTTCGGTCATTCTAACATGAGTAAGATATCAGCGTACAACGTCCATAAGAACATATGCAGTTTGTGGAAAGAATTTGTTCAAGAGGGAAAGATTACACAGGTTAGCAAAATCATTTATATCAAGTGCCAAAGTTCACTTTTCCTAGTACCTTATTGGTCGAGATGTTGTGGACCGTCAATAAGTACAAAGTCGCAGAAAAACACTCTTCGGTGTCGTGCAAATGTCACATTTATGGACGGTGCATTCGAAAATTGTTATGAAACATTTAATTTCGACTACAAATAGCTAAGTTGCATTTATAGTATTCATTTTGTTATTACATTGATTGATTTGGTGACATTTGACTATTTGTATTATATCATTGGCCATTTTTTAAAATCTTTAATAAGAACACTTCAATTACTTACTTGTTTTGCTCTCTTTGACACTCGATATAATAAAGCCCTCGGTTCAAGTAAATAAGTGTYAATTATGCCATCCGTGTATTCCCGGCTTTTGTGTTGATTGGATGGACTATTACACTTTAGTCTAATGACTTCACACACTAGTTTTATAACGTGTTATACATGTAACTATAGTTTTTAAGAATGGATTTAAATTTCTGAAATTTAGGACGAGTTTAACCACACGACATTCGTTTCCTACAATCGAAAATTGGAAGAATTCAAGAAACCTTTTAACGATCCGAATTCTCCTGTGAGGCGGAAGGGTTTGGAATGGGTTTCCTTTGAAAAACATGTCATYCCATGTGAACACAAGGAGAGATGGATGAGAGACAAGGGAGACCCCAAAGAACATGCCAAACGCTATGTCGCCAGCATACGCATCTGGACTAATGCAACATTCATAGAAGGTTGGTTTGCACCGGMATTTTGTTCGTTTGTTTAGAGTACATTTCCGAGTTTTTTGTTTTCTACTTTCAGGTCTATCAAATTCTCGGTCTGCCGAGGAGAAATCCAACATCGTAGACGATCTTTACCACCGCTATGAATCATTGGTAGCCAAACACCCTGAGGATCACGAATTTTACTTTTTGCAAGCCTACATTGTTCTAAGAAAACACATATAAACTACAAATCCTTTATGAAAACCTATGAAGTTGTAGATTACTAGTTTAGCATATTTTTGTTTTGTTTCGAATGGAGTATCACGCAGTAACCAATTACTACAAACACTGCATTTATTTCAACTAATGTACAATAACATGCGTTAGTTTTACTTATGTACAGAAGGGGTAGAGCACACATTCCCGCACAATAATGACAAATCTTTTGGAATGTTGTTTTTTTGCTGTGCTATCGAAGTTCATCTTGATTCGAAGGATACTGTTATCCTTGATAAGCTMAATTTATATTCCATGAATACAATAATACTACGTGGTTGGAGCTGTTTGCCCATAATACCATTGGTTATAATTGTATGCAGCCTAAAATYAAGAAAACAAACATAAGTTTAGTAATTGAACGGTTCAACCACTTCCACAGGATTAAAAAGACATAAGACCGGCGGCCAGGTTGGAGGAATGAACAATAGATACTAATGAGAAATCCTTTGTTGAAGTTCCTCCAAGATGGCCTCTGTGACGTACAGTGAAAACGAAGAATTATCATATGAGGTGAAAAAGGCACAGCCAGCCCAAACCTTCCCCTCAACTTACTGGTTGAGCAGCTGTATATCCAGCCCACTGGTTCTGTACGGGTGTGGTRTAACCATATGCTGCAGCAGTAGCGGCAGCAGCAGCAGCACTATAGTTGGCAGTATATGCCGAGTTAGCAGTATATGCCGAGCTGGTTGTGTAAGCTGATGTATCGTAAGCTTCGGTGCCTGTTGCTTGATATGCTTGTGTAACATCTGTAACTGTTTCATCTGATTTGGCGACTTTCGCTGAAGAATCACCACTGAGAAAGAAAAGAAATATTAGAAGGAAAATATATGGAATAAATGACAGAATGAAAATTAGAAGAATGAATAAAATGAGCAAATAAATACATACTAAAGAAATCACTCAAGTGAGAATATGTTTTATACCACATGACTGGTTTTTTAGTGTAATGATTGGCTAGAAACYATCACATAATTCACAAAAAAGCCGATAGTATGATAAAGTCAATAACTTCACAATAAACATACTTAGTTTCTGAGACTCTTTTCTTYCCTGTAGTAAGACCATTTGAAGGAAGTGTYTTTGACTTATAAAGTTTACCATGCGCTTCATTGGCTTTCATTATCTTACTGATACTTGGACTAAAATCTTCCAAAAAATCAAGACGTCTTTGAGAAAAGCTTTGCTTRGCATCTTCTGATAAACCACTGCTTTTCACCAAATCAAATACTTCTTCTATTCTGTCTTCATAAATGGGAGTTGAACTGAGTTCCAGGTCGAGAAGTTGTAAATAGAGTCTGTTGTTATTCTGTAATAAGACCATTAACAATATTGTAAAGAGTTCTACATAGTTTTTTTGGCTATACCACAAAAAATAATTATACCCAATAAACTGAGCACACAAAAGAGGACAATTAATTATAGATAAATCACTTTAAAAGGTTCTMGATTTTGCTTGTAGGATTGTGTAATTATATAGGTTATTTTTAGATTAATGTAGCAAGGTCTATTCATTTCCTTAAAGTACGCACAACTTCAAAGTTTTGAAATGAGTCAATGCAGTTTAATTTGGGCAACAGGGAACGAGTGTAAAATCACTGAGCAGATTATCCACTAGCAAAGTTGCCATCATCTTTTCATTGTCACCATATTACTATCATCAACATACCTTGTCTTTTTCAATAGCATCTCTTAACACTTCAGATGCTTTTTGATAGTCATTCATTACCTATAAAGGAGYGATACATTGTGTTAGTTGATAAAAATCTTCATTACATAATTAACATGGATTACTAAAGATGGATTAAGTAAATATGAATCACAGTTATTTTCTTTCATTCTCTGAAAGATGGATTAAATCAAGTTTTTCGACACTGGAAGTTGAAATGAAACAATCATATCTTTTTTCTACTTTTTGTCATTATACTCTAAATCTTATCTTCACTTCTTCTGAAMATTTTTGTTACAAGTACTCTGTGAGCTATCACTATATCACTATTGCTAACAATATAAAAAAACATGCTAATAACATTCCCCAGTGAAATACTAATAATATTGATAGATCTAGTTCTTGAATTTTGCAAACCCTGCTTCATATTTACAAGTAAATAGACTTATAAATGTCAAAAGGCAGAAATTGCAATTAATTTTGGCAACAGGGAACGAGTGCACCACCACTGAACAGGTGATTCACTAGCAAAGTTGCCATCATATTATAACATGCACAACAAAATCACCATACCTTGGCAAGAAATCTCGCATAACGAATTGMATAGAACGACCTTGCCTCTTCATCACCAGTTTCATCCATTGCTTCTTTGTAAATCATACAAGCATTCTCAAAGTGACCTTGCCTTCTTTCCAGATTGRTTCGCCGAAGTTTCACAATGGCAAGTCCTGGCACCCAAAGGTCTAGTTCTTTAAGAATTGCAGCAGCTAAATCAGGGTTACCTGTACAATAATAAAGTGTACTTTTTTCAGGAAAAAAATTGAGCATACAGGTCAAAATAATAGTGAATGTCAAATAACAATGGGAGCTTTCTTGAAAAACATCCTGTTTTACATACATATTGCAGTGAATTTACACTTTTAAGTACCTTGTTGCTCCTCAAAGGCAGCCCAGGCCATGTGGATATTAGGTTTTCTTGGCAAATGAATACGGCATGCTCTCTCGTAAACATTATGACAGTTCTCCAGACTATGTTGCTCRATATAATTGGCATATTTCTGCCAAAATTCTTCATATAAAGCGCATGCAATGACACATCGCTCAAAAAGCACAACAACCTTGCTGTGATCTCCATTAGCAAGTTCAAAGTCTAGATAGTCTTTCCAGTTTTTGAGTTGKACTCTTTCTAAAGGTTTGACATGAAAGTAAGGCCTTTTGATGCCTTCTTCATAAACCCAAATTTTCCTTATTTCATCTTCCAGTTTGCTATATTTTTCAGCTCTTGYTGCAATGACTTTCTCTCTGATGGCAACAGTTTCTGGATCATTCTGGAGGATAAAACAAACAAAAATAATGTATTGTTAATCTTATAAATGTGCATGACTTTTTTTCTCTTCAAAATATCAATTTTCACATCAAATTGATTGGGAAATGTTCAAAACTTCTTATATTTTCCTTCTAAATAAATATGGTAAATTGAAAATGGTTGAATCTACCTCTGAAAGTACAATTCCTTCGTCCCCTGGAGCACCAAGATCCTCTGTTCCTGGTGCAACTTCATCTTCTTCATCATTATCTTCTTCCATTTTCACTTCTGCATTTTCTTCCTTCACATCAGCCTCTACATCACCTGGGAAAAATGATGAAGTCATTCACCTTGCCTCTCATCAATCCCAGTTTAATATTTAAATAACAGTCTCTCTAAGAATGATTACCTGGCTTTTCTTCAGCAGGTGTTGTCTCAGTTACAGCCGCTACTCCTGGTGGAGCTGCAGCGACCTCTGACTGCATTTTCAGTAATTCTTCAGTTGACAAGACTGCTGCAACTGGATTGGAGTTGATATGTGTTTTGAATCTGAAAAAGGACCAACACAAAAGATAAAATAGAGTTAAGAGTTGTAGAGTTAAACAGATTCTGAATATTAGCAATGGTACACTGTTGTGTTAAGCATAACTATAACTTCAACATATAATACTTACTTTTCAAAATGTTGGGCATAATGTTGTGTAGGTACAGTTAGTAACTGGTCATAAATATCTGTGACTTTTTTGAGTTGCCCCTGGTTTCTTTCCCAATCCAGATAAGCATCCCAAAGCTTGTCGGAGCGATATTCATATCCTGCAGTTGCAATRGCTCTTTCAAACAAACTGAAAAAGAATAAGATGCTGTTGAGCTAAGGTGACTTACTAACAATGCAATTCTGCAATTTTGTTGAATTCAGCAGCAAAAATGGCCTAAAATACCTTGGTTGTTAGTAGTCTAGCAACCACTATGAACCAACTGTGAGGAATAGTTGTGATTAATTCCTATAAACAAGGGCTTGTCGTAAATGAGCAAAATAATCCATGAAACATGGCTAGAATCTCCAAGCCAAGGATCATAAACACTTCTGAAAAGTACTTCAAGAAATCCCAAGTTCATTTGGGAATTTTACCTGCGCATTATTTCTGAACCATTGACTTGACCCTTGGTCATTTGGGATGAGAAGTTTAGATAGTGAACCCATAGATCCACGCTGTATGGGATAGATGCTATCCCTTGCTCAAACACCTTGAAAATAAAACATTGACCATTACATTGAGTGCTTCTTAGCTGATTCCGTTTGGACTTTTTCAAATGGATGTTTAATAAAAGTTGAAGTGATGTTTACTAGGCARTGAATGCATATTAAACTGTGAAAATATAATTTAGGTACCCATGAATTAAAATGTTGCATATCTTCTATTTTCCCATGATAATTATTATTACCATGGTTTAGATATGGATGATTATGCAMATAATTTTGGCAACAGGGAACGAGTGCATCGCCACTGAACAGGCAATTCACTAGCAAGGTTGCCTTTGAAATAGATAGACACAATTCAAAGCTGTACAATATAATGATCATTTTCATTCTTTATTCAAAATTTTACAGGCACAAGATAGTGAAACTATTTTGGCAAGCTATATACCTCTTTGGCATTTTCAATGTTTCCATTCTTGCGTTCCATGTCAGCATACTTTTTCCAGTACCCATAGCAATAGGGATATCTTTGAAAGAAGCCACCGAATGCTTTGCGAGCTGACTCCAACTTATTCTGAAAGGGAAACATCGGCTTCACAACAAAATTCACAAACCTAATCTAAAATGATTGGAATCGACGAAAAAAATCTTACAATCACCAATCACAGGTGTTTTACAAACATCCAACCAGTTCTAGGAGTTGATCCTCTTGTAGTTAATCTAATTCCTGAGTAAGAATTGAATTATTATAAGAGATTTTATCTAAAATAATAAGAAAACTGTCGTTTTGTAGGGTTCTTGGTTCACTGTAGAACTCTCCCGAAGATTTACCAAAGACTTCCTCACTAACCTCTTGCTCAACAAACTGAAGCAAGTAYGTCCAGCTGGTGAAATCCAAAGGATTATCATTTACAGTTTTCCAGTATTTAAGTTCTTGCTCGTTTACGACTTCTTCGACTTCGTCAACTTGGTTTGAAGGAGTTTCTTCCGAGRCCTTCTCGAGTTCATCTGAGACTCCGTTAACCCCACCTGAAAAGCGCGAAATAATATAATTCCTTGCAGAAATGCTTCCATCGAACAAAAATTACTCGAAAATAACCTACCATACTTGTAATTCTTTTATTTGAAAAGTAGTTTTTCTAAAATTTCCTTATTTTAGAAAGCACAATGTTCAAGCGTGGAGCTGAAATCTTGACAGATTTTAGCAAGGCACAAGCATGTTTATCAACCCAAACACACCACATGAGCCAGCTAGTGTTTTARAAATTACTAAAAACATTATATTTTTAAACTTACTCTCAGGATGGCTTTGATTTTCCATAGATTCTTCGACAGAACGATACTCATCTTCAACTGCTGCCATCTTGAAAAACTGTAGTACCAGGGAGCGCGCCCGTCCGAAGACTTTACGTTTCCCCCTCGGAAAATACTCGTAAAAGTTACGGATTTCCGATAGCTTAACGATAATTATAAAGGATGGTTATACAACGAACGCGGAGCTTTCCCTGTTGCAAATGACTTATCCCGTCAGCTTCTCACAGTGGCATGGCGTTTGGGAAGTTTATTGAGAGCAGTCTTTGCTTAGCAGTCATTGTTGCTGGATTTTTCGTCGCAGTRCCGTTGCGCCTTCTCGAACAACAAACAGGGAAAACATGCTTATTGTTTGGTCAAGTTGACTTTTTAGAAAAGAATGTTACTGGAGGCAAAAGCCATTATTGCGATCTTGGATTTTATTCTTCGATAGTTGATATATTTTTGGCTTCTTTTCTGATTTGCTTGCGATGGTGTTGTCTGATGAAGACTGAAAAGCCGAGGTGAGATGCGGCACGCTTCTTCCCGCGCGTTTGTTACTAATGGCAACTTAGCACTGTCTCTCATTAAAAACCCGGTATTTTGCCTYATTTGTACTTCAAAATTTCAATTCAATACAGTTTTAAACTTTGATACCATTCAGTTCTTGAAGCGTTTTATGCTGTAAAAATCAGTGCATTTTTGTAGAATATTTAGYGCATTCCAACGGATCATGACGAACATATTCCAGCACATTCAAAATGATATTCTTTGAATTTCTATTGTCAACTAAGTCATATAGAGGATTATACAGAGATTCTATAAGTTGTATACTGGCTTCAATATCATGTAAGCCCGTCACCAAAGTAAATAGTATTTAATATGAAAAAATTCTGTTCAGAAGATGAAGTGATATTATTGACTTCTCACCTTAATGAACAGCTGTCACTTTAATATTGAAAAGTGTTATTAAAGAAACATCCTTTTAAGTATATCATTAATCTCTTTGTAAAATTGTCATAAAATCATGTCTGATTTAAATGAAAAGACATAAGAAATGAATATTTTTCTCTCTACTTAAATTTGCAAATCATTATTATTTTGTGTTATTATTGTTATTAATATTGTGATAAATCAAATCAGCCATTAATTTATTTAACCTTTTGATTTATTTTTATTGTAGCATGATCTATGGCAGCCTCATCTCATTTGTYTTAGCCACATTAGGATGGATTAATTGTCTGGCGAGAGGAGTGTTTATGATAACAGGAATCAATGAATGGTGTAGCTCCATCAAAAATGCAGGAACTTCAAGGTAATAATATTTTTTTTATTATTTAATGGGTAATTGATTGATTTGAAATAATAGAATAAAATGCWAATCTTTCATATATTTTCTTTTGATTTACTAACAGTTTATATTCATTCATAATTTTGTCTCAGTTGTGACAAAGCTGCAATTTCTTGGAACTGGCAAGAATTCAATCCACAGCCACTAGATGCTAGCAAATCAAATGACTTTTTTCTCATGATAGAAGTGAGTACGATCCCCTCTCTTCATTCTCATTATCCAGTTATTTAATCTAAAACGAAATATTTCTGCCATTGATTTTATTTCAGGTATCRTCCTACGTAGCAATAGTTATATGGTTCCTAGTGGCATTYATATCAGGAACACAAATGAGAAAAGCCATTTACCACTTTCTYGACGCACAACATATTTAYAATCAACAACAGATGCACTTTCAAACACCCAGATCAACAATGGACTTGTATGAAGGACAACAATCCATTTATAGTGTAAACCAGGAGCACTTCCCTAGAGTTGTAAACATGTACGACGGAGATCATTATGAAGATGACTTTGATCCAAGGATTGATTTTGGAAAAGTAACCCACTTATAATGGAGTTGATTATCTTGTGACATTGCCCCTCTTAGCAGGGACTAATACAACAGCCATTTGAAATATAACTGATTCAAGAGTTGAAAATGGCAAACGCATTGACACGATTAGCAAGGAATGGATTTATAACCCATGTTTTGGAGCAGGTTTATTATTTGATTGTAGAGGTTCTCACAGAGGGAACTAAATTATATTTGAACCAAGATTAATAATCAATTATTAGTTATCATTAATAATAATCAATTATTAATCTAGGTTTAAATGAAAGTTTCTAATACTCCAGTTTCGAGATCTTACTTGTGCAGCCTTAACCTCAAAAACATGTAATATATTCTTTTATTCAGCAGAGATCCTATTGCAATGCAAACACTCTGTGTATAAAGAAGACAATAAAAAATTATGCTATTTGAAGCTAAGCCTGCACAGAAGAGAATTTGAAACTGGAGTATTATAATTATTCTTACTAATGATGGGACATTTATGAGGATCATTCATGGATGAGCAAAATGATACACTATGCTCATCTTTGCCTTGTTTTCCAAGTGAACTAAATCATGCGCAGTAGTAAACACATACAAAACGGAAAAAGGTTCTTAAAAAAAAGTTTAGAATATTTCAATAATATATCAAAAAGTGTGTACAGTGTATGAACTTACACTATCCAGCAGTATTTACTAAATAWAGTTTTATTGAAATTGCCTGTTATTTCTTTTACAAATGGAAAGTAGCAAGAACTTTGACAATATCACAGTAGTATGCAATATTATTGCATAATATTTAAGTGTTCATAAATTTACTTTCATTTCTTACAAATTATATTAATTTTAGTGCAATAAAAATATGTTTGGTAAATCAATAATTAAAATAAATTAAATCATCCTTGTTCCTGACTTTTTTCACTCACAATGTAGTGAAACCTGGTTCTAACAAGTGCACCTTTTGTTCAAACTGATGGCCCACATGGATGGGCAAATGACATATTGAAGTGTTGCATTTATATTATTATAAACATTTGCTCCCAAAAGCAGCATTAATTGTTTTGAGATAATTAAATGTTACTTGTTGGTGACAAAATACAGTACTTACAGCCTGCATAGCAGGTCTCTAAGAGAATTGGAGAGGACTGCTAAGCAGGGTAAGTTCCTAGAGTGTCTAGTTCATGGATATATTGCTATCACACTTGCATGCTTTTTATTTTACTAAGAGCAACATTTAGTTTCATTAAGAACCTCTTTCTTGGTGTCTAGAAATATTGCGCTTGTTCGATAATTAGTATTGGTTGTTTCTTCGTTACCACCATTCTAGAAGTAAAGAGTGAAAAGTGGTTGGAATAATAGCTCTTTCTGCATGCTGGGGACACCAGCAAAGTACAGGCTGCAGGTAACATTTTGTATATAAAATAATTAAGTCTTTATGATAATAATACATTACCTGGGTGGCTTCCATACTGTGTATAATTTGTTTGCATATATCTCTGAATGCCTGAAAATCAGAGAAAATAAATTTAAATATGGTGCCATAGCCTAGCCTTCTCAGTAAGTAGTACTATTATGGGCTTCCTGTGCTTAAAAAGGGAGCTAAAAGTAGGGAGACCTGGGGAAAATGAACTGTCTACAGAAGGAGAAGAGGCTTAGAGCTGTCGTTGAAAGTCTATTGCCTGCTAGGTTACTATAATACTCAAAAACAAATATAATTTAAAGAAAATTGTAGTCAAATTGGTAAGTGAAAATAAACATCTTTACTTACTTCATCTATATTTATATTTGCGTATGCACTTGTTTCATAAAACTGAATATTTCTTTCTGCTGCCAACTGAAAATAGAATGCAATTAAAAAAGATCAACAGAGCATCTTGTATAAGTGGTGTAAATGCTCCATTTTATAGTTACCAAAGCCAGATCTTGAAAAGCAGCTAAGATTTTGCATATTTAAAACATGACAGTGGTTGAACTAGCAATGGTGTATCCCTGTGGATTGGCTTACAGGTGTCAACAAAAGGTATCTATCATTGCAGCCTTCAACTYCTATCTCGCTTTGATGCTGGGCTTGGCTACCTTTCAAAAATTTCCCCTAGGAACTTTGGGTATTCAAACAAACAAACAATTGAGGGTATTTATATTAGTTATACCTTTATTCCTGATTCTTTAGGTACTATTCTTTCACTTTCAATATCACTTTTATTTCCTATTAACACTCTTTGTACATTATTATTGGCATGCTATAAAAGTAAAGAAACATTCAACCTCAGAAGACTGAGCAAAACTTTAATTATAATAATTATCATTATGAACTGATTATATGTAAAAAGTCAGTGCGGCATTAGCTTACCTCATCTACATATCTAAGCCATTTTTTTATATTGTGAAAAGTTTCTAATCTTGTGATATCATATACCAGAATTATTCCCTAAAGAATGTGTGTTATAAAAAAATTAATATTTAGATTATTACGGAACCACTAAAATGGATGTGAGCTTTTTTATAAATCATTGATTACAATTACCTGTGCTCTTCTATAATATTGTGTTGTAATTGTTTCATATCTTTCCTGTCCTGCAGTATCCCTRTGACAAGAAATAAAAAAAAGTGAAACCAAGGTTGTTTTTTTTTTGTTGGTAATGAAAAAAATGTAAACTTTCAGGTTAGTTAGGSCACTCCTAAATTCTCTCTTGCCAGGAGTGGCATTAATTATCCTTACTAGACAAGAAAGGTTAACTACTTTAACCCTCACTATAATTATCCTCTTCGAGGGAATAAACAAACAAGAAATTTACTTGAAAATGTATACCACAAAGGACTACTAGCTTAGCATTTAATCATTTTCAAAATGTAAAATTTGGAAAAGGGAAGGAGCCAGTGAATTTGACGGCCTGCTGGGCATATTTCGATTTAATGTCTGAAGTAGTTATGACTCTTAAAGAACTACGGTAGTTATTAATTTACCATTTTAGGTAATATTACAAATGAAAATACTCAGGGAAATTGAAAATGATCTTTTCAATTTGCCATTGCAAACTTCCTTGCTGGAAGCAATCATGTTAAGTTAGGGGCTTTTTTTACTTTAAGACGGATCAGACATGTCACTTAAAAGGAARTATAGGTCACTTGATGGCTTTCTTTGAACTACAATAATACTTTTGTTTTTCACAAAAACATAATTGATCATTGTATCAGCTATTTCTTGACGGATTTTTGTCCAATGTMAAGCTCCTGTTCATGTTTAATGCACTGTTTATTAATACTATTTATATTAAAATCCAGYTAAACTTTGAGAAATACAACAAAATAATATAATATTTCGTGATATTTAACAGCAACTTTTAAATGAATTTAAAAATATATATAAAAAAAAAATTTGAAATGAATTTTAAAAAATACAGAATATTCTGATGTATTGTTTGAGCAAAAAACTGAGATATTATGTTACWGAGCCAAATGTATTTGTTGCAATTCAAAAATCATTTCTAAATATGATTTGTTCTAATATTCAGGAGACATAATAATTGGTGCAAAAACTTTAGAAAGCACTAATCAATCATTGTAGGAACAGCTGTCCCCTTTTAAATCAACTTAGTTTTTTTTTAAATTTATCATTTAAAATTTTGTAATAATATTTTGGTTGCATAAAATACGAAACAAGTATCAATTAAAAATAATATTTAATTGAAATTAAATAAATTTATTTTTTCAATCTTCTAACTAGTGCATAGTTCTAATGATTTGAAACTAATTTACATTATGTTGGAAAAAATAAATAAAAATAGCAAAATGTCAGGATAAAAAGAAAATTTTGAAAAATATCTTGCTATAAAAAGGCACTGCYTGCCAATATCCTTGCTAAATTTACTCAATATGATTTATGAATAATCAAAATATGGTAGGGGATTATCTTGAACTACAAGCTAGCTGTCAGTATGAAAAACTGGTGTCAATAGAGATTTGAATATATTTAGGGTTTGAGTGAAAATGCTTGGGAAAATTATGATATATGTYTTTTATGGTCTATGATYAATCTTTSCTTGAGGCAAATAATTATATGTGTGACTGAACAGCTACATGAAGTGTGCCAGCCACAGACCAATAATGAATAACAAATATTGTGCTAGAATTTTCGGCATTTTCATGCTTCAGTGATGAAATGGGACACAATTCTCTCATTTAAAATAGTTAGGAAAAAAATGTGTACAAATAATGTAATAGAACTGTATTTTGTAACTGTGGAATATTTTAGTACTTTTTTAAGTTGACAAAAATATCATTATGATTTTKAATTAATAGTTCAGTAACAATTTCTTTGGTCMAAAGACCTCAAACGGCATATCAGAAATTTCTAGAAATTGAAGATTAAAATGTTTGCTCTTAGAATTAAGAACTAGATGTCCTTCTTGCCGTTTAGCAACAAGGATATGTTTGTKYTATATTTTCATTTCAGGAAAGGATTAGATTACTSAATCCAAAGAGCGGAATGGCTTAACCARAAAGCCACAACAACATGTTAAGTTTGAGTTAGGAACCAAGCACTCTTATAGCAGCTTATAGCTTAATAATGTTAAACTTTTTGCGCTCAGGACTGGAGGACTGGAGTATTCCGCTCAAGTTGATTGATATTAAATTATTCCTGATAAGATACAGCTTTTTTGCGCTGTAAATTATTGTGCAAATTACTCACCACATYTGWATTCGTATCCGTTTGCCATCGATGASTATAGTTTTCATTTTAAAATCTATTCCTGAAGAGAGCAAGAAGGAGAATCGAAGATGACGACGTAACTTATCTCAATCATCAACCATCCTCAAAAATATCGATCAGCAAGACAGATTTTAAAAGTAAACACGGAAACTTTACTAAACTGTCGAGGGTCCGTTATGAAGACAACTTACCGATCGTTGAGATATGCGATTTGTTAAATTCGTCGTTGGCAAAGCGACATAAAATACACGTCTTACCAACGCCGGAATCTCCGATGAGAATAATCTTAAAAAGTTGGTCGTAGTTTTTCGACATCTTGAACGTAGTCTATAAGAAGAGGCACAATGACAACATCAGGACGTCTACTGAAGGTTACCGTACAATGAGAGCTCAGAAATATGAAACTATGCATAAAATTCATGAGTGGTTTCCCTTTGCGACGCAAGTTCAGGCGCCATTTTTAAAAATATTACTTCCCCTCGGTCCAATCTCCTCTCACGTTATTATGGTGAAAAATTATACTGATGAGGGGAGGGTAAAAAATTAAAAATAAAGACCTTTCAGAAGTCTACAGCTATACAATCAAATTAAATAGGTATTAAGAAATCTCAATAATGTATCTATTCTATTTCCAGATCCATTCACATGAAAAATGTTTGCAAGAGTTTCCGTAGGTTTCAATCGGATACAAAAATCTTATATGTACCCCTCCCCCGATGGGAAATAGACAGATGTAAATAAAGATGGCGGCAAACAGTGGAGTGACTATCAGTTGACATTTTTCCCATTTTCTCCAAGTGCATCGTGTAAAACGTCCCTACTTTAGACATGACTTCATGATAATGATTATTGAAAGCAAGAACAGAAGCTTTTACGTGCAGGTATTTTGAAATTATTGCCTCATTTAATAATACAAATGTACGTATCAATTTCCTAACTGTCAGAACAAACATCTGTCTTCATTTTACATCGAGCATTTGCAAAAATAAAAGTGTCCAATTCATTTAAAATATGTTTAAAGGTTATTTTTCAATAACAAATTATTTTATCAGATTGTGTAGCRAAGCTTCTTTTTTCATAGGTTGTTTCACAAAAGACTCAAATCTTAACCCAGATGTGTGTGTGCCCTGATAATCAAAAAAGAAAAAGATCAGAGAAATACAAATGGTTTGATGGACAGAAATTTACAGTAAGCTTTAAATATTGGAATATCCTTTTTTTGAAGAGTTAGGATAAATTTATCCATTCCATAGATTCAGTATGGATAATTGTAACTGGTGGATAAGGATTTGTGGATAAGGATTTATCCAAGGACATCTGCATTCATCTTCCTGTTGTAATGCACTGATATATATATTATGTATTTTTTCAGAAATTTTTGGCAAGACTTCAGGACATAACATTAGCCAGAATCCTTTCTGGTGAAACTGTTGAGGGTCCAAGGGATGTCAGGGAAACAATCCAAGGTATGACATCTATGTGCAAATGACAAATATCTGTTATATACAGTCGCTTAAGGTAACAGGAGGGGAAGGAAGAAAATGAGGGTGTGTTCCATAACTATGGATCGTTTCCTCCCTCCCTTTTTCCCTTTTCTGAAGAAAATCACAAGAAATAAGCAGCAAACATGACTATTAATACTGAAAATGAAAATGATTAAAATGATTTTTCTTCAATGTAGTGCAAAAGTTTCAAAAATACCCTAAAAGGTCACTGCACCATCTGCACCTCCATTAACTCCATTCTTCCCATACAACAAAGGCTCGTGACTTTTAATTTTCACCCTCTGGTTCTATAGGAACAAATGATTTATGCATTTGTTTTATACCCAAAAACGTATTCATAATTATATTACTGGTAACTTTCAGGCCCTGAATCTTGTTTTCATATATTGTATACCTTCAAAAAGGGASTATCAAATCAGTATGTGCTTACCAAGTCTCAAGCGGTTAGTATGAAAATCTGTATATGATGTCAATAAAAGTAGCATAGAATCAGATTGAATAGCATACCTTAAAAGAGTGAATACAGCATGACATATCATGAAATGGAAGAAAACTTTAAACTAGTCAATAATTAACARTTATTATTATCCAGAGAAATGAATAAATCAACTTGCCCTTTCTCTTTAGACAAGTCAATATCACCAAGAAACAACTGTAMAACCCAATTATTCAGGTATATTTGTTAATAAATATTTTTTCATAATATGTTTTTTTTCAGTGGAAAAATCTTAATTAATTGAATTTCCACTTAATTTTCTTGTTTATMAGGCGGAGGATACTCAGAGTATTCCACATTTCCTGAAAAGCTGGTAGTCTTGATAAGCCTTGAACCTATTACTCTTGGTACTGARATATCACAGCAGCAGTTAACATTAGCAATGCTTAAAGAAAGAAAAGAGAAAAGCAAGTACTTCAAATCAGCTGATGGCWCTAATCTGACTTCTTCAGCTGTCAAAAAGCAAGCAAATCTACGAAGCATGTAAGTTATTTAAAAAAGGAACTTAGCCTCATCRCCAATGTCTTGAGTCTTCACATTTTTAATAGTGCACTGTCTATTGATGTTCATATATTACTTATAGCTTATAGCTCAGATAGCAAGGTCTGTATTAAATATTTTAATATTAAATAAAAAATAATGAAAAACAATTATTAAATTATTATTTACGTACCTGTGCCATTATAATAAGACTGTATTTCTTGTTATAGAGTTAACAAAATGAAAACAGCTACAGGGAAAGTTCACGAAGCCACAACTACTGAGAAACAAAATATTGCAAGCAATWATCAATCAAATGGTTTATTAACAAAGACAATAGAGAATGAATGTAATAGTACAACAATCCATAGTGAAAGACTTTGYGAACAAGACATWACTATTCCAGATGATACTGRTACCATTTCCAGGAAAAGAACAAGACAAGATTCAGACAATACATGCTCAGAAARTCAGTCCACTGAGAAAGATGATTTTGTAAGYCCAAARAAACCAGTTYTGAGAACAAAGAGGCAAAAAATTGTCCATAAAGGTTTGAAGAAAGTTAGCAAAAAAACRKTGAATGRCAATTTGGTAAACACTGATACAGTCAGTTCTGGTATTTGCCCCTCTGTTGATGATACAAGGAAGAACAGTTCAGATGAAAAGAGTTGTATGGTTTCAACAACATGCAGTGAAAAGAGTCAGGAAACAACAAGTGAATTTATAGACAAAGARACAGCTGTGGAARTAACRACAACACAGGATATTCCAGTTGTAGTTGTGCATGAAAAAACAAATGATAAACAGCATGAAACTATCACTATCAGGGATGTTGTTCCCAGTTTTGATAATGTCAAGTATGTAAACTATCAAGAACTGTCATATTTTTCTATCAATTGATGCATTCATTCAATTATTTCTTTATTCCATTTCTTTGTTCATTTGTTTTTATAAATTCATTATAACCTAAATTCATTGATTCATTAATTTATTCTTTATTTTAAAGGGAAGTGTTTGATCTTACAAATGAACATATCGAGTATCTTATTCARAAGCTTCAAAAGAAACTTAAAAACATATTCAAAGGAAAGGTAATGTACACAGACAACATTTGCATGTTGGCATTTCAGAAATAATTGAATTGTGATTTTGGGTTTTGATGAATGCAGTTGATGGTCCTTTAGAAGGGAGAAGGAAGGAAAGAGAAAGGCCCGATATGACACCCTTGTCTTTCCTTTATCTCTAGGAATACTGCAGAAGGCATGAAGATTACAAGAAAGGAGGACGTAGTAAAGGTTAGTCTCTTTCAACAGCCGCGACTTCCGGTCTCATCAAATTTCCTCCCCAAATTTGACGTGACCGGAAGTCGTGGCTGTTAAAAGAGACTAAGTAAAGGTTTGCTCTCTCATGACAATGGCGGGTGAAACTTATGTCTCTGCCCTAATCCATCAACATCTGGTGTTAATCTTTCAGGTGATTTGGCATTTCAAGTAAGATTTGGATTATACTCCGAGGATCAACATGACACCATCATGCAAGAACTGATGTCCATCTTTTGTGCTAGGCATAATAAGGTAATTAGAACTGCAACAACTTCTATGTAAAATATTATAAATTGTAACAGGGAAATACACCATACAATCAAGTGTGGAAATCTGGGAATTTTTTGCTAGTCACATGTAATTCTCATGTGGTCAAGGTAACAATGATGTACTTTGTCATTTTTAGTACATTGATTACCTGTCCAAAGTTCTTTTGCCTGAAACATTTGTATTAATTTACCAAGAAGTGTTTGGAGGGAACCATGATGAGGTAAGAAAGATCATTAGTTGCAGTATGGAAATATTTAAACCATGAACCAAAATCAATGTGTGATGTTTATATAGTGCTTTGGGACACTATCTACATGTGGCAACTATTTTAGTGTTTTTTTGACTTGGCTTTTTTGCTACATTGCTTAGTGCTAATATTATCAGGATTGCTTAAATCTGTGCCTAACAAACTACTTGTAAGGTTACTCATCTGTATCTGACTGATGGTCTTTACTAAAATAAAATATATTTTGTAGAACTGGTTGTTTTTTTTTCTCTAAGGTTGAAAGGAAACTGATGGGCATTGACAAGAATGAAAAAGATAACTCTGTCACAGATGCAAGCTTATTATCAGAGTAATTAACATTAACTAAAGAGTATATTTTTGTATTATAACACATTGATTATATTTTATTGGAAATATAATTGCAAATATGTTGAATAGGAAAGAATTATAATATATTTGTGTACAAAATTGAATAAAAGTATATATTCTCTGTTTACTTGAATAAATAGTATCAAATAAATATTATTACTTTCATTATGATTACAGACTTTTATATATAATTATTGATTTTAGAGACTTTTTGAAATAAAAAATGTGAGACTTTGGTGTTGAAGTTATTGATATAACAATGAATGAGCAAACTACAACTATACATTCAAATACTAAAATGTTGGAAAGAGTGACCTTTACCCTGATTCCCATGACCATAATTCTTGGAGCATTATTCTTCGTGTTCTTACAATGTGTGA